TAATCTGATATCATACAATTTTTTTATGTAAAGGAAATGTTTCTTCAATATGCCTGTGATACACCTGCTGAATCAAAATTATTTTTAATAAATAAAAATTTAATCCGATATTAACAAACTACAAAAAAAATACTTACTCTGTTTGAATGAAAAAATCCTTTCACTCTATAAAAATGTCAAAGAGCTGTTAATTAATAAAACCGAGCTAATTTCAAAATCCTGTCACAAAAATTAGAAAACTCTAAAAATTTATATGTTCATACTTAGGTCAATTGTGTTTGATGCTTTGTGAAAAGTTTTTAACCTCCTCAAACGGGGGTTAAAAACGGGGGTTCAAACGTTATATGTTCATAATTTTTGAACGCTAAAAGATTGTTCTATGAAATTTAAAATTTATCGCTGAATATCAATTTAGTTAAAAATAGTAAATAAATGTATTATATCAACTTGTTGCTCTGTTTGGGGCAGGAGTTTGCAAACTTTGGGGCATTTATATTTCCAGGTTTCAATCATCGCAATTTTTTGCCAAGAAGTCTTATTTAACTGCGTGGAGAGCTTAACTTATTTAAATGCTTGGAGTTTGCTCTATGTCTGGAAGTCAGCTACCTCAAACACCAAAAAATACTGAATCCTCACCTGTATACATACATACACTTAAAAATGGATAATCAAAATAAGCGAGGACTTAAAAAATACTTTTGCAAAAAACAAACAAAAAACTCAGTACTCTTAATATGGTTTCGAAATGCTTAAATATTGGTTTTGCAGAATTTTTTATTTTCATTTTTTATTTTTTTTTTACTTTTGTGCAGAATTTTGGTAATAAAAATTAGGGAATAAGGAAAACAACTTTTTATAGGTTTTTTTTTTTTTTTTTTTTGATAGTTAAGTTTCACTTTCTTATTGTAAATTTATGTTTTACAGAAGAAAATTAATAAAAATGAAATAAAAAGTAATATATTATAGACATTGATTTTATAAACGTTTAGTGCTTTTATATCTTTAAAAAAAATAAATAAAAATTTGACACTTCTTATTGACACAAACAAATTTTTTTCTGCTAAAAAATTTATTAGATTTACTACCTGAAATAGGATTTATTTATATTTGTAATATAAATAATGTAAATGCATTGAGGGGAGAAAAGATCATTAGGATTTTGGAAACGTTAGCTTTTGTACTGTTTGACAAAAAATTGAAACTTTATGAAAAAGATAACTTAGTTATTAATTCTTTAAAAGAAAAGCAAAGCCAAGCTAGTTCAAATAAATTTTTTTTATTCTAAAAACGAATCTACTCTCGTTCAAAACTACCCCATGAGAGGGCAGTTTAGCAAATATAATATAAAGATTTTTTTTTTTTAATTTCATTTTTTTATTAAGTAGTAATTATAAACAATAGCAGAATTAAGAGAGTTATTGATAATAGCAATTTTTACGTAGTTCTTGCCTAATCAAAAAAATAAACTTCGAAACATTCAACCAAATTTGAATGTGGAAATAGAATACTTGATGCAAAAGTTATCACTTTTTTTTAAAATTATTTTCAAGTATTTTTTTTTGTTAGCCAGTGTACTTTTAGAGCATCCAAATACAGCTGCAGCTTCTCTTTATTGTTTTATTAAAAATATGTTTTACTGCAATTTTTACATTTTTTCTCACTTCTTTTTATAGTTGCGCACCATTTTTAGATTTTTTTAAATGTTTTAATTTTTAATAATCTAACTTGCCGATAAGTATGTTTAGAGATGCGAAGTACGTCCAAATGTGGCGCTTAAATGTGCCCCATGAAAATTTTCCACTGCTGCCTTAACCCTGATTTCAGAAATATTTCACAAAGTTTTTATGAAAAATTTATGTTATGTAATTGAACTTTTCTATTTATATTGTAGAACCTATTCACTAAAAATGTAAAAAATAAATTTCTTGGAGAAGTTCTCAGTAAATCATTACGTTTAAAAATTAGAAAAACTATCAAAAATTATAAAAAGTTTGTATCTAAATACCTTCTTGAAAAAATCTTGCGAAAGTTACGTGCGAAAGTATTTCCAATCAATTAAAATATTTAACTTAGTTGATAAATTTGAATTTTTTAAAATTTTTGCATTGTCCTAAACTGCCCATCTCATAAACTACCTCCTCCAAAAATTTAATTTACAAAACTTGCAAACGTAAAATATGTAAATTATATAATTATAAATTGAAAGTAGCAATCTGATTTGTTTAAAATTCCATTCTCTAGTATAAATTATACTTTGCAGCGTCTGCAACGGTTGGCATTTGATTCGTTGCAAATGTCTTACCATGATTTAACTAAAATATTCTCATAAGACTTTGTTAAATCATGACAGGTAGAGTACAATTTAAATGTCAATGCTTGGCTTATAAACTGGTTGGAGATTTTCGTATCTAAAAAAACCAATGATCTTGTTAAGTTGAAAATAATGCATGAAACTTGATTGGATATAATTAAAGGCAACTATAATAAAATATTTGATAAT